CACACCTCGTGACGATCGAGAAAGAAACCTTGGTTCTAAACAAAAAAAAATGAGTTCAGTTTGTCTGTTAAAACTCGTTTGTGAAACCTGAATCTATCGATGTATTTTGTTAAACTGATGTGGAGACAAAAATAAAAACAAGGGAACATCCAGATATTTTTAATTTTACCTCTAAATTAATCAAAAATGTATTAAATGTGCTGTGAAAATAGACAATAATGTCATCTTACTCAGAGCTTTGATCTTTATTAGACGATACAAATTTAAGACGGGATGTTTACAATTAACTGAAATCTCATTCATAGTAGAAATTACAAACTAAACCACTCCTGTTACTACAAAATCAATAAAAACATTGTATTGTTTTATAAACACAATCATTGCTATTTAACAATGTTGTCCTACAGGTTATTGTTACAAACACTTTGTTACACTGTTTCTAAACACAACCATATTTAGTTAACGTTTTCCTCAAAGCTGTTATGACATTGTAACGATTTTAATTTACAAAGTTTTCGTTATAATACCGTTTGCTGCAGTGTTTGAAACTGTGAAGATTGCTTGTTTTTTTTCTTTATGTACGCACACTCGAAAATCGAAGAAAAATTTAAAAGTACGGTTTAGTAAAGATCCCTTTTATATTTTTTACGCCGAGTTGAGCAGACGTGATCAAAAATATGTGAATCGATATTATAAAAATGTATACAAATATCAGCTGTACAGATATCGGTATCAAACAGCTATTGACGATGCGACTTTTATCACATTCGCTTCCTTTGTTGTTCACATCCGACACACACTGTTGAAGAAAACCTGATGTCTCGCTAACCGGTTTTAGATACTTGAAAAGCCAAAAGGTAATGTATATGCAAGACTAACGAGTTGTAATAAACACAGGTTTTCCTTTGTAGAAAGCTAGAACCAGTGTACGAAAACTAATTTATGATGAAGCAAACGAATTTTTTTTAAGGTGTTAATAATTCTATAAAACAATCAAACATTAAAGTCGCCCTTTTAATTTCCTGTCTTGTGCATTTAAAGCGTCAAGAGTACCTATGATATTTGGGTAATTATTACTTGTTCACGGCAGCACTGATTACCTTATCAAGAAGTAACCATGTCTATGTTCTTCAAAATAAAAAAGGTCAAGACAGGGAATCTTCATGACCCCCCCCATACTCCAAGCCTCACTACGATCACTATTCTGAACCACCATATTTCCATATAAATAAGAGCTGTAAACATTACAGCTGCAAAATATGTAATAAATGCAACTCTAAGTTCTGAATCTTCCAGAAGAAACCTAACACCCAACCAATCGGAAATGCACGAGAATCAACCTAAACAAATTTCCCTCTGAATCCTAATTCTATAATTTCCACTTGCCAACTTTCCCTTTACGTAAAATCCTAAGTCTATAATTTCCCCTTGCCAACTTTCCCTTTACGTAAAATCCTAAGTCTATAATTTCCCCTTGCCAACTTTCCCTTTACGTAAAATCCTAATTCTATAATTTCCCCTTGCCAACTTTCCCTTTACGTAAAATCCTAAGTCTATAATTTCGCCCCTTTACGTTAAAGATCGGTTTGATACACACGTGTATAATGATCGTTCACGATTATTTATATTACTTACGAAGAAGGTAAATCAAATCAGCTTGACCACAGTAAAGCAACGACCGTACATTCGCCAATTTTGAATATTTAAACACGCATCATTCCTGACCTTCACTACGATAAAACTTGACCCGAGTCCTCATTCCCACTAACATGCTTTTACCACGTTCTTCATACAAAGTATTGACAATGTTATCAGCTGTGTTTGTCCAGGTTGTCTCTCTAAGAAGGACGGGTCGTTTTTTTTTATCCAAACACTTTTCTAACAGTAATTACACAAAATTCAGTTCTGTTGAAACAGGGCGATATGTTTTCCGTTATAACCAGTAGTAGGTTTCGAGATGACTTATTTTTTCGAACAGTAATGACTGTTGAGGTCTGATATTATTGCTAACATAACTGTATGCAATTTTAGATTCGAACGTTTGTAAATAACTACAAAGAAGTTGATACACTAGAGGGGGTTATTGTTTCATGGAAGGTACTTCGTCCTTTTAAGTTGAAACTTTTTCTTAAAACTTCCAGAAAATATTAGATTTATCGAAAATGTTCTGTTTTTTTCACGGAAATTCTTTATAAAAGGTTGGCGACGTTTTTTCTAGAACGATCTGCATCACTCAATTAAAACACTTTTTTTTTTGTTGTTGTTGTTTCAAAATAATAAGGTTTCGGAAACAAATTTATCTGCGTCTAATAAACGCCAAGAATGATGAGTATGTAATAATACAAATTTAGTAAAAGTGGTCTGCTAAAACTTAATAACACGTGCCTGTTTTCCATCATTCCACTTGAATAAAGCGCTACACTGTCAGTGACCTCATCTGGCCTCGCGCAAAGCATCATTACTCATGGAAACCTTCATAATACTGCATTATCACGTGTACTTTATTTAGTTAATATGATGACAAAGTATTATATAAAACTCATCATATGTTCATACCGCCCATGTTAACCGGTAGTAAAAGAATTATACTTATCTGACTCACAGATTCATTAATAACTTATACAAACCAGATATTACCCAACAACACCCTCACCAAAAAAATAGATTGTGCTAAGATCACATAGTAGGTTATTCTTTCAATGTTAAATGGAACTGAGATACTTGCATAATAAATAGTGTTCTACTACATTAACACAAGCTAAGTTTCTACGTGAAACAGCTTTTATAAGGACAAAGTACTATATAAAGTCACAGGAAAAATTGCTTGGGTTCCTAGGTGAGTAAATAATTCTAAACAAATAAATCTCACAATGTCACACTTCTTCCTTCTCTTAAAAAACATTCTTCACACTAAAAGTTCTTAATTCTTCAAAAATAAACAATTCTTAATATTCTAACTGTCCTTACCTTTCCTGAAGTAAAGGAACAAATCTTAACACTGTAAATAGTTCACACATCTCTTAATGGAGCAAATCTTAACATTGTAACAGTTCACACACATATCTTAATGGAACAAATCTTAACATTGTAACAGTTCACACATCTCTTAATGGAGCAAATCTTAACAGTGTAACAGTTCACACACACAATCTTTATGGAACAAATCTTAACAGTGTAACAGTTCACACATATCTTAATGGAACAAGTCTTAACACTGAACCAGTTCACACATCTCTTAATGGAGCAAATCTTAACACTGAACCAGTTCATACCTTTCTTAAATATACTAATCTTAACAATATAACAGTTTTTACACCTCCTAAAGAAACAAATAATATTACTAATATCATCAGTTCTTACTTGTCCTAAAGAAACAAATACTATTACTAATACTATCAGTTCTTACTTGTCCTAAAGAAACAAATAATATTACTAATATTATCAGTTCTTACTTGTCCTAAAGAAACAAATACTATTACTAATACTATCAGTTCTTACTTGTCCTAAAGAAACAAATACTATTACTAATACTATCAGTTCTTACTTGTCCTAAAGAAACAAATAATATTACTAATACTATCAGTTCTTACTTGTCCTAAAGAAACAAATACTATTACTAATACTATCAGTTCTTACTTGTCCTAAAGAAACAAATAATATTACTAATATTATCAGTTCTTACTTGTCCTAAAGAAACAAATACTATTACTAATACTATCAGTTCTTACTTG